GGGGAGGCATTGGAGGAAACTATGCCCCGTCTCTACGGTTACAAGGGGGTTCGGGGGGTCTAGGTCCCGTGTCTCTGGCTCTGGGAGGGTGTGGGGAGTCTCGGCCCCTCTCCATGGGTATAGATCCACACGTTCAGAGATGCTCGGGGCGGGAGGGACCTCATCCGATCATCGAGTCCGACCCCCGCCCGGGCAGGAACGGCCCCAGCCAGGTGCCTATGCAGCCTTGTCTTGAAGACCCCCCTGGCAGGGGGAGCACCACCGCCCTTGGGAGCCGGTTCCAAATGTTGGCCACCCTTACCGCGAAGAGGATTTTCCTGATGTCCAGCCTCAATCCGCTCTGTCGGTTGGTGACCATTGCTCCTTGTTACCCCAAGAGGCGCCTGGTGAATGGAGCATCTCCGATCCCTCGCTCCGTCCCCTGATGAAAGTATAGGCAGCCACAAGATCCTAGACTCACAGAAGTCGGGTGGGAAGGGACCTTGCAGATCTTCAGATCCGACCCCCTGCCTGGGCAGGAGGGAAACGGGGCTCAAGTGACCCCAGCCAGGTAGGCATCGAGCCAGGGCAGGAGCCAGCACCACTTCCCTTGGAGTTGGTCCCAGATCCTAGCCGCCCTGACTGTGAAGTAGTTCCTACAGATGTCTAATCTGAACCTAGTCTCCAACAACTTGTGGCCATTATTCCTTGTTATCCCGGAGGGTGCTGGGGGGAAACCAGGTCTCCCCCAAACCCTTCTGGTCCCCCCTAGTGAGTGTATAGACAGTCACCAGGTCCCCCCTCAGCCTTCTCTTGTGGAAGCTGAACAGGTTCAGGTCCCGTCGCCTCTCCTCGTAGGGCCTGCCCTGCTGTCCCCGGATCATGCAGGTGGCCTCCTCTGGCCCCTCTCCATGCTGTCCACATCCCTCCTGATGTGCGGCGCCCAGAGCTGGACGCAGTACTCCACCTGCGGCCTGACCAGTGTCGCATAGTGGGGGAGGATCACCTCCCTGGCCCTGCTCGAGATGCATCTGTGGATGCATGGCAAGGTGCGGTTAGCCTTACTGACCGCTCCCTTGCATTAGTGGCTCATGTCCATCCCGGAGTCAACAATGACTCCGAGATCCCTTTTGTCACTGTGTTGTTGAGAAGGGTGTTCCCCAGCCTACAGGTGTGTTGCTGGCTCCTTCCACCTAGATGCAGCACCTTGCACTTGTCC